TAAACAATCCCAATATCGAATAATTTAATTACAATATTCATTATCATTGCACAAGTTTTATAATCAATATCAAGTTTTAACAATCACATGTTTAGTTTCTCTCAACTCACAATTATACTTTAAGCAGTGAATATATGATAAGAGTTTAGAGATATATTATTGATGCAATTAACTAACAAAATGAAATCAACAGAAAAATAAGGGACGAAAGAAAACGAAACCTTCGTCGGTCTGAACAGACTCGACGTGAGAGACCTCTGGAGGTGGGGTGATGACAACGATGAACTGAATGACGACGACGAGGCGGAGATATGACGATGACGAGTGCGACGGTGTTGAACTGATAACGATGTGGTGATGAATCTGAACGACGAAGGTGACGGCGATTCTGAGCAGCGACTAGAGTGACGGCGTCAGTAAAGTTGACGGGACGATAGCGATGTGATGATTTGTGGTAGGCGGCTGTGACAGTGGTAGTATTGCTCTGGTGGGGAATTTTGCCAAACAGTTGGTGTACATGAAGGCGGCAGTTGCTGGGAAAGGAGGCTCGGTGACAGTAGGAGTAGGACGACTGCTTGGGAGGAGATGATAGCGCTGGTGGTGCGGAGGTGGAGATCAGGGGCGAGCTGAGTGTGGATCTGGTGGTTGCAGGCAAGAGGAGGGTTTGACTGATTGTTAACGTGGGGAAGACGGGGGAATGCTTGGTGACTGGAGGAAGAGGACATATGGAACGACCTAGGGTTTCACACCCGAGGCCTAGGTTTCACACCCAAGGCTTCACACCAGATTTTAACTAATGTAATTTTTCATTCGATAATTCATTGATTTTCAATAGTCTCATACAACCTTATTTATAAAAAAAAACTACGTGCACACAACGTGCAATAAAAATAGAAACAAACAACAATCCCTCAAATCACTCAACTAAAATTAAACTAAATTTCAAATTTCAAATTTCAAATTTTAAATTTCAAAATTCAAAAATATATCAACTAATCAAATATTGTCATTTCTAAAATTTAAATTTCAAAATTCAAAAATATATCAACTAATCAAATATTGTCATTTCTTGTCCTTATTATTTGAAATTTAGTTTAATTTTAGTTGAGTGATTTGAGTGATTGATGTTTGTTTCTATTTTTATTGCACGTTGTGTGCACATAGTTTTTTTATAAATAAGGTTGTATGAGACTATTGAAAATCAATGAATTATTGAATGAAAAATTACATTAGCTAAAATCTGGTGTGAAGTCTTGGGTGTGAAACCTAGGCCTCGGTGTGAAACCCTAGGCCGTTTCCTATGTCCTCTTCCTCCAGTCACCAAGCATTCCCTCGTCTTTCCCACGTCAACAATCAGTCAAACCCTCCTCTTCCCTGCAACCACCAGATCCACACTCAGCTCGTCCCTGATCTCCACCTCCGCACCACCAGCGCCATCATCTCCTCCCAAGCAGCCGCCCTACTCCCACTGTCACCGAGCCTCCTTTCCCAGCAACTGCCGCCTTCATGTACACCAACTGTTTAGCAAAATTCTCCACCAGAGCAATACTACCATTGCCACAGCCGCATACCACAAATCATCACATCGCTATCGTCCCGTCAACCTTACCGACGCCGTCACTCTAGTCGCTGCTCAGAATCGCCGCCACCTTCGTTGTTCAGATTCGTCACCACGTCGTTATCAGTTCAACACCGTCGCACTCGTAATCGTCAGATCTCCACGTAGAAGGATAGGATTTTTAAAGAGAGAAGGTTGTTAGCTGCTCGATAGTTAGAGATTTTCTAGCATTTGAGGGATTGGATAAAGTTGTGGGGTGATTACTTGAAAATTTGATTCTATTATTCCTCCTCTACTTGAAGAAATCTCGTAGTACAGGAGAAAGGGGTGAGGTTGTTGAAGAAATTTTGGAGTTGGGATTATAGGCTAATGAGCTTGTTAGATTAAAGTTGGAAACTAATAGGCCCTCTAATAATTTATCCAATCCAAAACGTGATGTAGGCCTTAGCATAGCAAACATATCAGCCCATACTGCATTATATGAAAACTAGTTATTACACGCAACATAGCTTGTTGGCCATGTTTTTTGTACCCTGAGATGATGGTGCAAACAACTTTTAAATGGTCATTTCATTCCTTATTTTTCAACACATCTTGTGGTTTCCTCCTTGTACAAACTCAGATAACTAAATCGCATGCCTTTATTCCTCTGCCAGGTGCCAACCAACTGATGTTTTAATCTAGTCATTTTCGTCATGTATTGATTACAAAATTTACAATGGGAACTGTGGGATGGTTTCTTCATTCCAATTCTCCATTCCGTTGCTGGATGCAAATATCTTGACACAATTCTACAATCTAGAGAAATCACAAGGCCCCAAGGAAAAAGAAGTTAATGTAACATATACCAAGTTATTAATTCAATCAGAGCCATGATTGTGTCATGCAATTATACTTAGCAAGTTTCGGGACACCAACACAGTGTATGGTGTATATGTATGTAAGCATCAATTGCATAATATGTCATACAACTTATTTTATCATCATTTTCTATGCTTGGCATTTGACCAAATGATTTTTAACTTCTGAAGCACTGTTATTATTGTGGATGCAGCAGATTTAACCAATTTTGACATGATAATACTGTTATGTTCATGCATGCTACCTGTTAAGGGACAAGTGACAATAATAGAACTTTAAATACCACTCACCTCATCTCCAACACCACAAAGTCTAACATTCATACCAGCACGTAAAACCATTACTAATTTCCATCTCCTATCTCCATTTTCCAAACAAATAAACATCAATACAACCAACAACCATCAGCATGGGCAGATTCAAGGTGGTGGGGGTAGTGGGGACATTTGTCCCCATTGACCCCCTAAGATTAATATTTAATATTAGGCCCTTATTTTCAAATTGCCCCCTCAATATTTGATCTTATTAACCTTATAGCCAAGGGTTTTGAAAATAAACACCTAACTGGACCAAACTCAAACCATTTACCAAAATGCTTTACCCAATATCTAAATTTTCATTGATGATCGATTTCCCCAAATTCTAAAACAAAAACCCCTCTGACCTTCTCTTCGCCTCTGTAGTCACGAGAGGAGTCTACTCGCAAATTGCGAGTGACATGGAGGGAACAATTGTAAAGAATTTTAATAAGGTACTTCTATTGACTCTATTTTATTTCTACATAGCACATTTCGTATTGTCATCATTAATATTAGGGTTTTTTTTCGATATTAGTCCCCCAAATTTGTCATACTTTGAGATTAGTCGCCCATATCTTCATATTTTAAAATTAGTCCCCCAAATACATTAAGTGTTTGAAATTAGTCCCCGAAATCTTTCAACCTGGTACTAATTGTAGGGATTAATTTAAAAACACTAAAGAGATTTGAGGGGCTAATTTTAAAATACTTAAAATTTTAGGCGTCTAATATCAAAATATGAAGTATTTGGGTGACTAATATTGAAAAGCTCCTAATATTTAGCTAAAAGTATCATACACCATCACTGCTTTAAAAAACCTTCGCCTAGTCCGCTTAGGCGTACGCCTAGACTTAGACGGTACCTAGGCCGCCTAACTAGCGCCTAGCGTCTAGGCGGTATTTAGGCTGCCCACCTAGATATTACGAGCGTTTAGGTGAGCATTGTCTGTTTACGTGGATTGCACCCTGTAGGCATTGATTATGATTTTATGTGTCGTAGCCTACACATCCTCCAAACTCCATTAACCTCCAAATATGAACACCTCCACTATCTCCTCCGACCTTCAGCAAAACCTCATCGACCACCACTTAAATGAAGAAAGAAAAAAAACACCCAGAAACCGCTTAGGCGCCCGCCTAGGCGACTAAACGTTGGACGCCAAGTCCGACGCCTAGAAGCGTTCAACGTTTAATGTAACATTGTACACCATTATACTTGTAGGCTTATAATCATATATGTCGGTAATGTGGGATGCTATAGCGAACCATGACCCGGGTTCAATCGTTAAAAAAAAACGTGAGAAACTAAGTAAATAAAGTATGCATACCTTAATTACAATATAATTCTCAAGGTTCTTTTACCATTACTAATGTCAACTAGCATATTGTTTGAAGTTGACTCTTGTAAATCCTTAAATTCCTACATTTAAGAACCGAACCCAAAACGTACCACCTTCCCTAGCGCACCATATAAGTCTGTCCCCTTCGTATGCGATTCCTAATGAGTGGCGTACCATGCTTCTGTTCCCGTCCTGTGAACCGGAATGGACCGATTTCCATGTAACTATGCTTATAATCTTGCCCCCACTGACTAAAGTTTCTGGATCCACCTCTGAGTCATCAGCACCGGTATTGCCATCCACTGAAGGAAGAAAGAACAAAAGAAACAAAAAGCACGCAAGTTGGAGATATTGTTAAACTTGGCACCAACTTGCTTCGATGTCACCAAGGAAACACGGCGTCTAGCTCCAAAAATTAAATCTTGAGTTTTTCTCAACTCACCTATGATTGGAATCATCGTTTATGGCCGAAATAGATATTCACAGAAGTTGGAGGTTGTTGTCATTAATCACTAAAGAATGTCATCACCACAAGCCTATTAGAGGGAGCGAGGAAATGATTTTGCCTAATCTAATTTTCATCTTATATCTTCCTTTAAATGAATTATCCAATTTAATCCCCGTGTCAAGGTCTTGTTGTAAATGCTTCTTATAATAATAGGAATTAGTGACACATCTTCATTTTTATTCTTACGCGCCATTCTGATGTTTCTTGAGCCATACAAGGAAGTTCCTCTTTAATGTTAGTATTGATCTCTGCGTGAAATCATTCCTGATCCCTGTTCATTGTGTTTGTGTTTGTTATAACATTCTATCTTTAAGCATTAAATCATTCCTGATCCCTGTTCATTGTGGTTGTGTTTGTTATAACATTCAATCTTTAAGCATGACATGCACTCAAGAAGTCACACTATAGATTAACCATGCTTTGACATAATGCAGGCTTCTCAAGGCAGAGAACCACATTTGCAGATACAAGAACTAACTGTCAACTATGTCAAAGATTGCAGATTCAGTTTGAGACTGGCCTACAATTTTCTCCTGTTTCCTGTATTGTAACTGTAGAAATGTAACTGCCACTACGCCTTACTCTCTTCTCTTTTCCCTTTCAAACATGGGGTTTTGAGACTTTAAAATCATTCCATCCGTATATACTTTGACATGTTAACACCCTGCTCTACTTCAGAAACCTGACGCTAGTTGTCTATTCTTTGATTCATTCCCTTTACTGCATTATTAGTATCTTGGAAAGGCATACGAATACTTCTCTAACTGATCTCTTGGAGTTCTGCTTGATTCGTAGCGCGTATGGGTTGGTTATGGTATCTAACTGACTTACCTGTTCCAGTACTATTGCAAGGATCGTGATTATCTTATCCATTCAAAGTGAAGTACACGGGAAGGATCGTGATAAGTGGACCCTCTCCAATTACCATCAAATTGGAGAGGATCTCAATGCTTCTGTCCATGCTTGTAACCTTCTTGAGAGCTTAAAGAGTTTTTTTTTTTTTTTTTTGCCGGCACTCCAGCATGCTTGTAACCTTCTTGAGAGCTTAAAGAGTTTTTTTTTTTTTTTTTTGCCGGCACTCCAGATTCCTCCAAAGTTAAAACACTTGAAGAGTATCATGATTTTGGGCTTTCATACCTACTTACTGAGAAAGCGACAAAATCTAGATTGGAAGGTAACAATTCGTTGAGTAGTTTTTATGATCGGCATGTCGCCTTCCAATACTTCACCCTTCATATGGTAACTTAATTCAGCTCTCTTGTTGTAAATGTAGAAATTCATGCTCTCTTGTTGTAAACGTAGAAATTCAGCTCTCTTTTATTGTTGTAGATGTAGAAACAAGTGCCCCTTATATATTGTTCCCCAGTAGGTGCTGATAAGATGTTAATTAGATGAATTAGATTTTTGATGGCTTGTGTTGGTGTAAGAGTCTGAGGTACGCTAATCATGGTTCTCTTTTTCCACCAAAAGCATAAGGATGACAAAGATAAGATACTGAAATAGGGCAAATGATGCGGGAAAAAGGAAAAGAGAAGAAGATAAGATATTGAGATAGTCGATATCAGGTTATGATCAATGTTTTGGCAAAAAAGAAAAAGAAAAAGAATTGAAAATGAGAGGGTGATATTTGAAATATGAGGGGATAATAGTTGAGCTGCTAGAAATAGGACACTGTCACTAGTGGCGGAGCCGGGGGCTGAGGGTGGCCTTGGCCCCCCTTGGCTATTAGGCCACTATATGTAATATGTAGGTTATTCTACATAAGTCCCTTAAATCTTTCATCTATTGAAATTACTTCTCAACTCACGAAATTGCTATTCTACTTAATTATTAAGTAATTTTCAATTAACCCCTCTAATTGTGACGACTATTCTTGATTTGATGGAGTAATTTTAAAATTACTTACTATCAATTTCAATCATTTGAGGGACCGTTCTCAATATAAACTAATCATACTCCTTTTAAAAGCACGAGTTCGGAAAAATCTTTTGGTAAAGCAAAAATACCTCTGAAATAATTCAAATACTAATCCATTAAGTAAGAGTAAGTTGATAAATTGATGAATTCTTATTGGATATACATAGTATGAAGATAGGGATATAGTTTAAATTGAAATGTAAACATGAATGAAATTATTAAATGTCAACTTTGCAAATGTTTACAAGATGAAGGGCATATATGTAAAAACCAAACAAATCAACGAGATAAAAAATGTCTGCCCCAAAGGTAGAACCTAGAAACATCGCGTATCTATAAATGTACATAATATAGATGAGATATTTGTAAAATCCACCAAACAAATTAAAGAGACAAGAGTCGTTCTTAAAACTATAAAAAAATATTAAAATAAATGGCTGCGATCTGAGGACACAACATGGCGATCTCTCACCGATTAAACTTTAAGTAGTTTACGGTAGTGCATAATGAGTTTCAAAGTTTAATTATACTGTTATTATTTAAATAGAACTCTATTTATAATTGTTATTCTCTCACATGCAACAACACATGCCAATATATATAATCCAAGAAATTATAATAATTTTCATAACACTTTCATCTCATTCTATAGATATGTACCTTTGTTATTTTCTTCTTATTAGATTGGTTAGATTATTTTAAAGCAATTAATTATATTGTGTATTTAATCTTTTTTTTCATATTAAGAAATAACAATAATTTTCACAACACTTTCATCTATTTTCTTCTTATTAGATTAGACTAGATTATTTTAAAACAATTAGTTATATCGTATGTTTGATCTTTTTTTATATCAGAAATTGCAACAATTTTTATAACACTTTCATCTCCTTCAACATGTATGTGCCTTTGTTATTTTCTTCTTATTAGATTATATTGTTTAAAAATTATGAATTATGAAATTGTAGTAATTTTTAAATCACTTTAATCTTTTTTCTTCTTATTAGATTAGATTATATTATTTTAAAGTAATTAATTATATTATATATTTGATTTTTTTAGACCACAAAGTTTAATTATACTTTTATTATTTAAAAGGTACTATTTGTATAAAAGTCAAAAAGAATCTCACAAGTATTTTAGATGTCAATTGTAATACTTACATATTAGTGTTGGTTAAAAAAATTTTATGCATGAGCTTAACTTATATGATCCTACTTTAACCGAATTAGATAATTTACATTTTTCACCCAAACTCTTCCACAAAGACAAAAGAGAATAGTAATGCTATAGCTATATACCCACATGACTACATATATCTTGAAAATGAATGAAGAAAACCACACAAACAAAAATCATATTAATTACCCCACACACTCATTGTTTTCAAAACCACACTTCTCCATCTCCATCTATAATCTATCCACATACCCAAATTAAGCTGTTGGAGTTTCCCCCTCACCAACTACATCATTGATCAATCCTTCTTTTTTCTTTGTACTTAAATTATATAACATTCATTGTGATGAGGACTCACCTGGGTCCTCTGCCTGCCTTGAACGTCCAATAAAAAAATAATGTACTAGACATTATAGTTAGTTAATAATGAGATCTTATCATTATAAATAAATTAAGTAAAGATTAATAATTCTTAAGAATGTACTGCATTCTCCTAGCTTTCATTACAAACTTGTTAGTTGTTTATTCCTGACCCCAAGAGATTTTCAAAATTAATCTTGAGAGTTATTTCCATTAAAAAGTTTTGTTAGAGGGTCCATACAGTCTGTTTTATAGTTTAAGATTGTCAACATATTTTGTCTCTGATACATATCAATTATGAGTAATAGTATAACTTGATTGATCTAAGTATATCCTAATATATTTTTGGATTATTGTCTTGTCTTTTGCTCTTTATTATATATCAACATGATATCACAATTGATATAGACGATGAAGACACTATTGTAGAATTACCCAAGAAAAAGATAAAGAATGATTGATTTCGGCTCAATTAAATATGAAAAAAAAGAAGAAACAAAGGATAATATTTTTTATAGTAGAACTTAATTTTTTAAATATTTTATAGTAGAACTTAATTTTTTGAGTAAAATTAGGAATCTTCAAAAGGGATTTTGATGCAAAATTTTTAATATGCTTGTGTGAATGATTTTGTCATATAAAATTATACTAGAGTCACCAGTAATATTTAGTATTTATTTTTTATTTTAAGTCTATCAATAATTAAGATGTCTTGCATTCTTGTGAAAAGTATGTACATTGTGCTAAGCTTATACAAACCATCTTAATATTAAGTATTTGATTATATTTTATTAACACACTAACAATACATTAGTGTATTTTTTTTAAAACTTAACACTACATTTAATGGCTAAGATAAATAAATTGGAGATCAACGATTTGATTTGATAAAAAAATATGTTACATGAAGCTTGATATATACAAATTAAAAAAAATAATGTTGTATATGCAAGTATATAAAAGTATATTGATCTCAGTTTTACATGCAAATCTATTTCATAAAATTTTAAAAAAATATGTAAATAAAATTTATGGTAAATGTAATAATCCATGTTTAAAGATTAACTCAAGATGAATCTAACTTATCTTATAGCAAGAAACTAAACAAAAAAATAAATAATTTTGATATTTAACTACGTGCATTGCACGTGCATAAGAACTAGTATTAAAAAACCATTTTTTAACAAAAAGTAATTGTCCAAGTGGTATCCTTAAGTTGAGGGCTAGCATATTATATAAAAAATGATTTTTTGGGTTTGGGAATGAGTCATGGGTCCGTGGATGAAAAAGACGTAGTTACGGTCGCTTTGGATACGATGGAGGGAAGGGAGTGATTGACTTAAAGCTAAGGGGATGGAGTGGAAAGGAAAAGAGTAGAATGTATTCATCCGTGTTTGGATAGACAATAAGTAGGGGATAGGAAGGGAACAGAAGCTACTTGACTAGTATGCCCTTTTCACAAAATAAGAATTAACACTTTTTTGTTTTTTTCATATAGGGCAATTTTGAAATTTCAAAAAAATTCTACTTAAAACCCCTCCCCTGCCCTTCTAAGAGCATCTCCAACCCAAAACCCAAAATTGTGTAGATTTTACATCAAGTTGGTGTAGTTTTTACACCAAATTACTATTCCATCTCCAACCCATTACACCAAATTTTACACTAAAAAAATATTCCTTTTATTAATCTTATCTTTTAACATTTTTATCTATTTAAAATATTTAAAAAGTTATTTAAAAACCCCTCTTTCTTTGTTTCTGATGAAGGATTTATTAGGGAATTACTCCAGAATCCATCAGAAACCGAAGAGAGGAGGAGGAACCCGAATTTGAAAAAAGATAAAAAATAAAAATCCAGTCTTTTCCTAGCGATGCCGTTGTTCTCGAGCTCGATCGTCCGCTCCTCCGTCGTCCCCTCGAAGAGATCCGACGCCAACGTCGTCACCCTCAACGTGGCGGCCAGATCTTTCAGACCACTCGACAAACCCTAGCCCTAGCTGGGCCCGCCTCCGTCCTCTCCGACCCCCTTCCCTTCATCGACCGCGACCCCAACCTCTTCTCCCTCCTCTCCCTCCTCCGCACCAACCACCGATGCGTGGAAGTTTATGTTACGTCATTCCTACAGTGTTGCGTCATTTCTGGCGCAACACTGTAGTAGCACTTTAAAATAGCGCGTGTTTTGGCGTTCGGTTGGAGGAAGAAATGACGAAGTTTTTGTGTCAATTAGGGGTTTTGGAGTTGGGTTGGAGATGCTCTAACCCGTCTACTGTTAGAAGGTTGAGAAAGTGGCTGAATTTTATAATTTTCACCGCTCCCCTCCTCTCTCCTTGCTAACTAAAAAATGTAAACAAACATAATGTTCGGAGGGTTAGTATTGTAAACCTCTCATTCCCTCATGAAAAACTCTATCCAAACTCAGTGTAAGTGGTGTTGGAATTATA